TATCTATATATTCAAAGAGAGAAAGAAGGAGAGAAAAAGAGTAGAAGAGAAAAAAAAGCGTAAAACAAAATTTGTTAGCTTTTCGATTAAAGATTCTTTACTTTCTTCTGAACTAAACGATAATACTTCTTGTTACCAAATTTAAAATGTTTTTACTTTCATCTATGTCAGAACTTTTTCTTTTATCAATTTCTTTTAAAGCCATACAACACAAATGTACATCATTCAATGTGCTTCTCTTTCCGTTTAATCATATACGATATGTAATGATTTCCTGTTGTTTGTTCTCGAAGCCTTTTTAAGTTCTTTTTTTATATCTTAAGTTCATTGTTTTTTGTTGTTCAATCTATTCTTTTTCTTTCCTGAAGTATCTAATCTCGATTCTTGTTCAAATTGATGAAAACAGCAACAATAACAACAGTAAAAAAAAAATGACATGATAACCATTCTCCATTTTCAACCAACACTATGTGCAGTCTGCCAGGGTTAGTAATTGATTTTCCGGCGAATGTCGCATTTATATCTTTTTTTTTTCTTGTCCCGCCTTTTCTATTTTGGGCAGACAAAATCATTATAGAGAAATGTGGCCGGCCTTTACCATTGATATTCTTCGTTCTGATGACAAATTTATAATCAAACAAAACGGATCAGAAACAAATAAGACGTGCGCGATAGCCATGTGACATCACGCTTAGAGATTTTAAGAATCACTATTGGAGATCATGTCTCCAGGGAATCTATAATAGATTGATCTATCCAATGGAGAAGACAGAATGCATCAATCTTCAAATGAGAATAGCAAGAGGTGTCTTTCTAACTAAACTTTAACTCACATTCCAGATACTATGTTGAAATATATGTTTACTAAGCTGATGATGATTGTGTGATTTAATCGTTTATAAGATGATGAAAAACAGAATGATGATGATGATGATGATGATGATGATGATGAGAATGCTCACTTGATCATTGTTACAGAGTTATTGTTGTCGAGCGCATGTGCTAAACCTCGAGTAGAGGCCAACAACAACGAACGAGAATGGAGAGTCGACCTCTTCTCTTATCCGGCTGCTCTAAAAGTGATGTGCGTGTTTTTCTCTCTTCCCTTTAGTATGTATTTGTAGCCATTCTATTCTCCTTCTTCTTCTTCTTCTTCTTCTTCTTCTACTTCTTCTTCTTCTTTTTACCAAAAATCTAATTCAGTAGATGAACTTAAACAATTACACCAGCTCTTTTCCTCTTACTTGTTGAACTACTTGTCTTTCTCGTTCGCTCACCATCGTTCGAGAAAAAGATTAGAAATCATCGTTGTTTTCTAAGCGAAAAGATGAGATTCACCCTCTCAGCACAACGGATTAGAGGCGAGAGCAAACGAGAACATACACATACACACACACACATGCGTCGGCGCATTTTCTAAATCGAATTAGATCCGTCATCCCTATCACCACCGTCATCGCTCTCAACTATTGCTCGAGAACATAAATCTGCTTTTCTTTTTTTTTTTCTATGTATGTGAGTGAGTAAATGTTCTGGATTCACAGAACAGTGACATAAATCGATAGTGATCAATATCATAAGATTGAAGGGCGATAATGCGATGCAATCGAATGACAGCAGGATATTATCATCTGATTATGCAGCACTTGAATTTTTACATTAATCTTTTACTATTTGGTCGATTACAATGATCTCTCACTCCCTAGCATTCTACACTATTCTTTTTAAAATAGCTCCAGAAAAATAGAAGCTGTGTGCTTGAAACACATAAGATTTTCTTCTGACTTGATCCTTACACTGTATTGCCTTGTCACGCATACATCTTCCTTTCAATGTTTTTCACTTACTAACGACCATGCACAGACATATACACATGTATTCATGATCCATTTTAACTATTACTATCGAAGAAACCTTCGACCGGGTTTTTTATGGCATTTTGCATATCCATTCTGTAAAATCAACGCATTCACTCTTTCTATCTCTCTTTCTCTCCTACTCTAGAGTATTGATAAAGATAGATGAGTGAATGTCACACGATTTGCTCATTCACGCTGTTGTTGATAAGACCGAGCGAGCATGTATCCTTTCTCGCCGATTCGTCAACGATGGAAACGAAGAAGAAGAAGCTCTTAACCAACTCGTAATTTCATTTCAAGAATCACATAATTCCGCTTCATATCTTCCTTTTGCACCGCATAGAACTATACGGAAACAACGCAAAAAAAAAAGAGAAAAATCAATCGTACTCATCTTTCTTTATTTCACTCCCTCACTCAAGTGATAGTCATCAGATGATATTCAAGATGTATGTCCATCAATAAACAATGTCAGGAGTAGACATATCATTCTTCATCGCTTGCGATCGTTCAAGTGATAATCCAAAAATGAAAGAAACACGATCTGGTTGTCAATCCTACCTGTCACATTCTCGGAAGCGACATTTTTCTTGTAGCTATCTCTTGTTCTTTGTTTCTCTCTCTCTCTCTCTCTCTCTGACACACTGTTAGATTCTAATCTCATAAAATTGATGACATCGAACACAAATAAATGATAATAGTACTGAGAAATAAAAAGCAAAAAAAAGAAGTTTAGCTCTATGTCATTGTAAACTATTTTACAAGTTTGATTAGAAAATCAAAAGAAAAAGAATGCGATAAAACAATTATTAACAACTGTTGCAACAATAGTGAGGAAAAATCCCATGAGAATGAATCGTGCCAAACTAGCACTTAAACATCGCCTGCTGACAAATTGAACATCTCAAATGTATGTGTGGATATTATTTTATAGTATTCAAGGCTTTCTTTTCTGTCATAAAAAAAAAGATACCGAAAAATGATCAATATAAACGTTCTATAGTAATGACAAGATCGTAAAATCTAATCAAACAAGATAAACGATGAAGAGATAAGTTTTGATATGGAATGCATGCTTGTTGTATATCATGAGTACATGTCAGGAGTATATATGCCCTTTTCAAAACCTAAAAGTAACAATGATAGCAGTAATGCTGAGAGATAATGATATCATTTCTGAAGTAAAAACAAGATGTGTTTATGAAAACATATAACTGCGACACATGTCAAATCGATTTCTCGTCTGCTTTCATATCTTTATTTTAAAAAAAATCGCGAAAGATTAGGATGTATGACTTTAAAACGTGTTAGATGGTTTTTATTTTTTTTTTCTGATAGTTGAATATCTATAATGAGAAATTGACATAGGAATCTTCTAGAAATAGTGTAGTAAGATAGAGGTTTAATGATGATGGCATGCATACTTAATGAAGGACAGATCCTCATGAGTCTATAGAAGTGATATATGTATGTTGGCTTGATAAAAACCTTTTTTTAATGATACACATGTATATGTTTTTCGGAAGTGCTGACAATCCCTGAGGCGAATGCATATGAAGACGTCACTATTAGCAAAAGGTTGTACTCATGCACATAATTAAGAAGAGTAGATCGACTTTATATATATATATATATATATTTCTCCATTAAAATAGCCAGAACAAAAATCTTCAATTATCAGATGTTGACCGTTATGTTAATTTTAGAAAATTTATTGATTTAGTTTTCTCCATTTGTCTTTCTTTTGTAATATATCACAAATCGATATAAATAATATTTTAATCACCTTTAACATCTCTTGTTCTTCTTCTTCTTCTTCTTGTTTCAAGATCAATGATAAACATTAGAAATAAAGATTAATGTACATCCTTTCTCGATCAAATGTGATAAAGATCAAATGACGATTTGGTGTCCAATAAATATAAATACATCAAAAAAGAAGAAAAATATCAATATAACGTAACTGATTTGTATTCATTGATATAATATATAAAATATCAACTTGAAAATTAATAAGCAAATTAACTTACAAATGTAATCGAAAAAAACAAAGAACATTATATACTATTGCTTATATAATTATGTTTTTTTTTTGCTAGAGTATCAAGCTAATAAGGTCAATTATGCATTGTTTATTAATCTACTATGATTCAATAGTTGTATACTGTTTAATTCTAAGAGGACAAAAAGTGGTCTAAAAAAAATATAATACAATAGATATAATGAATAAGGTAAAGTGAATATAATATAAATAAATTGTTTCCTGACTTTTTACTGTTTATAAAAAATATATAATAGAAAACATATGTGCCACATGTTCTTATAATAGTATGGAAAGTCAATGAATGACACACGCGATAGAAAATCAAGTTTTTTTTTTTTTACCATGTTGAATACAATGAATATGAAAACTAACGAAATTTTCAGTAGTAGTCAAGGGCAATAAAAAGTTTATTCAATTGCAAAATTATATTACGTCTATTTTCAATTATCTTATTGAAGAAAAATGTTATTTTGATCATTTAATAGAGCAAAAAAAAAACTCGTCATATACAATATTCTTTACAAGTTTGGAAACCTACTTGACATAAAGATCAGAAATTATCAACAGAATTGGCTATAATAAATAATTGTTGAACGATAAGTTTGACACAAAGTATAACCAATTGATTCCACATATTGAATCTTTCTTTTGTCATTCAAAAAATAAGAGAGGCAGATAAATATTTTATAATAGTTTGAAACGAAGAAATTTATAAAAAAAAAAAAAACGTCGTGTTCAATAAAATGTGAACTTCTGATCGTTCGATGTTTTCTTCTTCTCTTTAAATTCCATAGTATGAAAATGAACTTTTCAATCTAAAAACAATTATCGTCCAAGAGCTCGATTTCGATTGATGATTTGTACAAAAATATAAACTTGATATTTGTGTGTAACACTTTTCATTTTTACAGTTAAAAAAATGTAGCATCATGATTTTCTAATTATTATTAACATTATCTTTTTTTTTTTTGTTTTCTTTTATTCAAACAAAGTAATAAAGCATAACGAATTAGTCTATTTATAATAATAAGAAAAAATGCTTTCATCAATATCAAAACCATAGATGTGATACATTTGTGTCATAATACAAATTAATTTTAACTTCTTCTAATATGTTTTTTAGAATGTTGAATAATTTTTTTATTTTTTCTCATTTGTAATTCAATTGATTGATTTCTTAAACGTTGATATGATATACATGATTCATCATATTTATCTTTTAAATTTTCTGGATGTTCTTTTTCATAATTTCTTAAAAATAACCATAAATGATTTGCTGTTTCATATTGATTTTGATTAATTAAATTAATTAACTGATGAATTATTGGTAACCAATCTAATTTATATCGATCCCATGAAAAACCAAATGTAATTCCATGAAATAAATCATCTAAACTATAATTTCGAAATGATTTATCAAGTTTTTCTAAATGTGAATGAAATCGATCATTGATTGCTGTTAATGATACATTAAGAATAAATTCAATTAAATAACCTATATATGCATCATCAGATAAACCACGTTTTATACAATTACGAGGTAAAATTTTAATATTAACATGAGGACGAAGTTGTTTAAGTAATGCATGAGAAAAGCATACACCAGCACCATAAGTTGCAAATGAATATGTTCGATTACTATTACTAATTTTTAAACCACCATTGATACTTGTCCGACCAATATAATATGGTTTTGAAGCATTTATTTGAGATAAATATTTATATAGATTATTAAGATTAACATACTGATCATCATCAAAACGACATAACCATTCTAAATTTGATTTGATTTTATTTAAACTATAAAATAATTGAAATTCATATGCTGTTTTACAACATAAATCTATACGATTGTGTGTTTCTGGACAATGTGTTTGAATTACATTATGAAAAGAATTTAATAGTGTTAAATTTGTTATGGTTGATATACGATCTGTAATTAAATATAAATTTGATTTTTTTAATACATTTCTTGATATCCAACTTTGAAGAAGATAATTTAAACGTGATTGACAATTATGTGATGTACGAACAAATAAAACTATTCGATTAGCAATATTCGTTGTTTTATTAAAAGAAAAATGAGAATTTCGATTTTGATTTGTTGTAAAAAATAATAAAAGACAAAAATTAATCGATAAAAATAAAAATATTACAAGACGAAAATATAATGTGTAACGACGTGTGTAACGTTGCATTGATAAATATTGTAAACATATGTCTGAAAAATAAATATACATTAAAATTTAGTCTTGACTAATATATACTTAGTTATGAAATCTATAAAAATTTCTTTATAAAATAAAATAAATTATTAATAAATGTAATGAAATACATTTTTAGATTTTATGTACTAAATCACTTATAATTCTAACTTGACATTTCTACGAGAAACACTCGTCATTATCTTAAAAAATAATAATAATAATAAATGAAACGTTCTACATATTGATACACATTTTGAATGAATACTTAGAACTTTTTATATATTTCTTGTCACTTACATTGTTTATTTGATAATGTCGAGTATTACTCGTAGAAATCTCGAGCTAGAATTATAAGTTATTTCAATAAAATCTGAAAATGTATCTCGTTTAAGTTTGACATTTTTTATTTAATTATTTATTTTGATCTATTCCATCGACTAATTTTTGTATAGTGTTAAATACTTTTTAATTTTCTTCGAAACAAATACGTTTTTCTCTGTAGAAAAAAAAAGCATTTTGTTTATTATCATATCTACTCATAAAGATATTAATATAAATTATATTATCCAACTACTTCAATAGAATCTCTTTCTCTAATATATAATAAGATCGTTTCACATCAAATTATCTTATTGATCAATGTATATGCAATGTTAGTCTTATAACACTGAAATACTGATATTGACATCACCAAAAATTGAAGGCAGTGAAACACAAAGAATATTGATAATGATCGACAGTAAAATATTGAGACATCAAAATCTTTAATTCAACAATGAGAGATATTTATATCTGACAGAGAACAAAGAAGATGTCTAATACTTTATTTTCTCTTTTCTAACGACGTAATAAGATGTATGAAGCAAGATGATGGAAAAAGAGATGTCAAGAACATTCAATTTCATTTTCCAATGACGCAAGCGCAAGTAGAAAGAAAATAGAAAAATGAATAAAGAAAATGACAGTAGGCGAAGAGAGAGAGAGAGAGAAAACTAAAGCAAAACAATGAAAGAAGCATTACAGGCAATACACGACGTATATTATATGAGATAGCAATGGGAGAATTCTCTTCATTACTAACAGACTGTCACATTAAATGAAATGTCTTCCAAGAAAATTACGCGAGAAACTACTAAGTTGATGTGCTTTCAACTGATGAAAATTTCTTGTACATGCATGTATTTCATTTTGTCCGTGAATTGTAGTTAAAGAATATTTGTATTGATGCGTCAATGTTTCAATGTCGTTAGTGATTAGTATCCTGATACTATTGCATTCCAGTGTAGTTGAATGATACAATTCAAATACAGATTTAACATTTAAAACTGTTTGCAAAAATTTTTTTTTTTCGAACCTTTGTCATCTACAAAGGAAAAAATAAGATGAATAGAAAATATTTTTTCTTTTCACAATTTTATTAGTTGCTAAGCTATAGGCAAGGGGGAAACAGCGGACTTCAAGACTTCAAGACTTCAAAAGACTTCAAAAGACTTCAACAGACTTCAACCGCAGTGACTTCATATTTTCACAAGACTTCAAAAGAGTTCTAAAGAGTTCTGAAGACTTCATAGGACTCCAAATGACTTCACAAGACTTTATAAGACTTCGTATGACTTCATGAGACTTCATGAGACTTTATGGGACTTCATAAGACTTCATAAAACTTCACAAGACTTCAAGAGACTTCACAAGACTTCAAGAGACTTCAAGAGACTTCAAGAGACTTCATGAGACTTCAAGAGACTTCATGAGACTTCATGAGACTTCATTAGAATTCATTAGAATTCAAGAGACTTCAAGGGACTTCATGAGGCTTTATGAGACTTCATGAGACTTCACATGACTTCACAAGACTTCACAAGACTTCACAGGACTTCAAGAGGCAGATTCCATGCGTATCAAAAAACCTTATAGAAATTACATGAAACTTCTATAACATGCAAAAAACAAAACTTATCATATAGAGATTACAAAAGTGTTTCTTGTTTCTGAGAATTGTTTCTCGCAGTATATCCATATCTAGAATAAAGATGTGACAATGACACAAAGCGTTGATGAAATTAAAACAGAGAAAATAAACTTTACTGGTATGCGTATGTTTGATTCGATTAATCCAGCATTGGAAAACTCCTATTTTCAGGTGCCAATAAATAACAAGACTAAATTTATACACAAGCAAACGACTTGTTGGTTATTGACCGACGAAGCTAGCCGTTTATCGGCTGATAGATTATCACGAGTGATAGACATAAACAAAAAGGAATAAAATTCTTCATAAGATTGACATCGAATAAATGAAACATTTCTTATAGAAATAAACCACTTCATTCAAAAAGCATTCAGTTCTTAACTATCATGTTTTCTAAGATCCAACAAACCTGAATTTTTTCCAGTACCTTGACAAACAAACAATAAAAAGTTCACCTTTCTGCTAAAATAAGACCGTCGAAAACAAGACAATTTCATTGCTTTTTTATGAATTTTCATGCACTAAATGTATTTCAAAACTTCCATAAGAATTCATGAGACTTCATTAGACTTCAAAAGACTTCAAGAGACTTCAAGAGACTTCAAGTGACTTCATGAGACTTCATTAGAATTCAAGAGACTTCAAGAGACTTCATGAGACTTCATGAGACTTCATGAGACTTCATTAGACTTCATGAGACTTCATGAGACTTTATTAGACTTCATGAGACTTCGTGAGACTTCATTAGACTTCATGAGACTTCATGAGACTTCATAAGACTTTATGAGACTTCAGAAGACTTTATGAGACTTCAGAGACTTCAAGAGACTTTATGAGAATTCATAAGACTTCAAAGAGACTTCAGAAGACTTCGAAAGACTTTCAAGATTTCATGGGACTTCACGGCTGAAGTCTCTGCTGTTTCCCCCTTGGCTATAGGTGTCTATAATAGGCTATGATTTCAATGTTACATCGATTATATCAACTGTTATTTAAAATAATTTATATCATGATTCTATTGATTCTAATTGAAAGAATGTGCAAGTATCGTAAAAGATAGAAAAGTAAAAGTAACAAGAATAAATGAGTTCAGTACGTAGAAGAAAATTTCTGTTCATTATAATTAAAATAACATTCATTTATAATTAACTGTCAACTACACGTAAAATCGTAATTTATCGAAGTCAATATCAGCTAAGATATAAATATATATTGCAATTCATCTTCGATTTTTTGTTGAAAGTAAATGATTAGATTAGTAAGAAGCAAAGTGTGGTTTACAATTACGATAATACTCTGTTCTTTTCATTGTGACAGATGTTCTTGTATTTAATAAACAGTTTTTCGGATAATAGATTAAAAACTAAAATAACCGAAAAATTACTAGATACACATTACTAAAAAAAAAGGCCGTCCTCCAGGTTTTTCAAAGCAAAACAATAGTTGGTATTAGAGTTTGAACGGATGTCTGATGATATTCATGAAAATATTTTACTTAAGGACACAATAAAAGAAAAAAAGCACATGAAGTACATGCCTGAATTGGTGAAAAGATGAATCATAAAAGGTTTGTCAGATATTATAGTAGAATGTTTGTTAGTAATAGAAGTTCTTTTAGAAATGAAAGATAAAATTGTAATAAAAAAAAAGGATTTATTTTTATACATTAACAAGTTAACCTTCGAATATCATTATAAAAAATATAATCAGATGAAAATATGTTTTGAAACTCTACAAATTCTTACCTCTATTTTTGTTCAAATTAATATATTTTTTATATACAATTATGATGAAACGAATATATTGTACATATTTAAAAAGAACGATTTTGATTTATTTCTGATTGATAACGATAAGCTGATTTGTAATGGAAGTGGCCATGTACATTCGAGTACACATAGCCAGTCGGCTCCGTGCACTCAGGTAGGTATAATCAATTAATTAATAAATATTAAGCTATATTATAGTGTTAGATGTACTTTATCATCAATATAAGTAAAATATTTCAACTTATTAGTAATTTCACTTTATTAATTCTTTATTTCATTCAAATAAATTATAAATCAAGTACTAGAATCAAACAAATATAGAAAAAAAGTTAATTCAAATAAGCATCAACAATTTTAGAAACATGTCTAGCGCCTCCTCTCTTAGGCTTCGAAGGAAAAAGTTGTATATCATTATTTTCAATGTATTTAACGAAAATAATGTTATGCCAGCTCTTTTCTGCTCTATGAATTGGATTTTTTATGTTGATTACTTATATCATAGAATGAAAGATTTTATATTTTTATTTTTAATTAATTGACTTACAAAATGAGGAATTAAAAAACATAAAAAGCCGATTATGTTTCAGTCTGTAATGATATCCTTTATTGAAATACATTAATTAATTTTCACTTCAATCTTTTCTCTATGCCTGTTCATTAGCACTTGAAAATTAGAGGGACACATTTGATATAATCTTATAATAGTAAATAAATATTATGATATCATTAAAAAGTCTATTATACTCATCCTGAACGTCTATTATTAGTAGTCTATTACATTATTATACTGAAAACCAAGTAATTTATTCGTTCAAGAATACTCTCATACCAGTCTCATAGCGTTAATGCTTGATTGAACGCTCAACGCGAATAAATACTTCAATACAACTCTTCAACTATAAAAATGGAACAAGATAAAGAATTTTTCTTAGGTGAAAATATTTTTGATAACCAAAATTCTCCAGTATTCATTTTGCATTATTGTTCTGAAAAAACGATGCGTGTGTGTGTGTACGTGATCTTCTCATTCACACCCACATCTACACCCGTATGTGATATGCAGAAGCATTGGATGAGAAAAAATGAACAGTCACCAATTCGAAAAAAGATGATGATCAAAAGTATCCTTTTCTGGTGATAAAACGTATCTTTTCCCTTTTTTTCTTTATGAAGCAATTCAACAATTAGGAAGATTTTGAAACAACTTTTAAAAACTGACGTAAAAATTACTAACAACTGATGAATATTGAACG